GAGATCTCTGTATTAGAGAATTATTTGTGCTATTCAGGCTGTACTGTTGAATCAGCTGAAGTCAATAAAACGTTGCAGCGCATGCGTTAGCACGGCATCCAACACACCTGGACATATGCCCCAACTGTTCAGTCTAGTACACTTTTTCACCTGCCAGGCGCCCGATATTGACAGATTCCCCATAGCAGCTGCTGGAGTTTGTAAGGGTAGTAATGGCCAGGTTACAGCTAAGTGAAATGAAAAAGGAGATCTATGATGGAATAAAAATGTGCAGTAGATATTCAACATAAACCATAAAAATAAACCAAGGCTGAAACAGAATTCACTCAACCATCATAGCATAATGGATCCAAACGGAGAGCAAACTGTACTCATTATTCTACAAAAGACGTTTGTTATCGCCCGCTAGTTACAGCTTATTGTCCACCGTTATAGATCCCTCTACATAGAGGGCCCATCCTCGAAGGCACATTATACTGTTTTCAAGGCAATTAGATTCCTCTGTAATTTCCGAGCACTTGCTGTTTCTGAGTCCCCTCTGGGTGGTACGTTCTTGTCACTTTTGTTTCTAGCTGCTACTATGGAAAGTTGATGATATTCATAAGTGGGGGAAGATATAAGGACAAGCAAGGTCAGACTGAGATAATACAGATGATACAGCTCATGCAGAGACCTATTATTGGGATGGAATTGTGAAGCGCTGAGCCGTGTTCCACTTACAGTAAAGCTAGCACAGTATATTAAATAATATCCATAAAGAGGACAGAGATGGCACTAGATTATGTCTTGAGGACAAGTGCAGCAGTGTATTAAGTATACTGACAGACTAGTAATAATATGACCCACATTTACGGTATTTGCTGAAATGACATCATTATTTGTCTCCCAGAGGGGAAACCTTGGGTGGCCAGGAAAAGAGCAATTGACTTAGAATGTTGGGTAAAATTGCAGACCTCTGCTGCCCTCTAGTGCCAGCAGTAGACACAACACATTTCGGTGTTCCTAGATGTCACGGTGTAGTAATCTAATAAAACCTATACAACACTTAACCAGCCGCGCATGATTGCCTACCAAGCAGAACAGTAGAAGGACATAATAACTGTTCTTAGAATTTTTATCAGTGGTGGGGTTCATTCACTACAACTGAAGAGTGCAAAATCTGGTGCAGCTCTGCATAGAAACCAATCAGCTTCCAGTTTTGTTTTTTTTTTTTCAAATGTTGATTGAATAAGTTGATGTTATTAGCTGATTGGCTACCATGCACATCTGCTATATGTATTACTATACACATTATAGAAAACTAAGGCTCAAAATTGGAAATATAATATACAAATGTTATTCTTATGCAGCTAGATGCTTGTCCTTTAGTGCATACGTCTCCAATGATGAACTCTATTGTTGATCCAAAACTACAATTTAAACCAGATTTGCAGTTATTAAAATCATGAAATCTGAACTCCAGGATTTATATAAAAAGAAAAATGGGTCAAACCCACTTACACTACTTTCCTATAACTACAAACGGCCCCAAATATTTTCAAGTGCAGCTCTACAGAGCTGACTCGCCTAAACCTTACATGTCAGCCACTTAGCCAAGCAGACACCATCCCAGGACTATATATGCCTCAAGGAAGTTTCCTCTTTTCCTTTCCGTTTTTCTTTTTTGGCACTATGTGGTCTTTATCATGCTATACGCAGGGCACAGAGCGAAAATACACCATATTACGCTTACAGTAGTATGAACAATAATGATGCAGAGAATCTGAAACCTGTTAAAAAAGGGATAATATATTGCATTATGGTACTTTTAAACAGACATTCCAAGGATGATTTTAAACACTTAAAACTTAAACTGAATTCAAAGTGTTCCCACAATTACAAAGTTAAAAAAATTAAGGAAAAGGAGCAAAAAAAGGTATAGCTGTGGGCTCAATGAAAACCTTTTGCCACCTATATTTGATATCAGGTACATTTTTCTAAAGCATTAGGCCCCTTTCACCTGGGTTTTCCAATCAGGTCTACCTGTCCAAGTCTAAAAAAAAGAAAAAATAGAAAGCAAAAGGGAAAAGAGAAGGGGGGGATGAAGGAGGAGAAGGCAGAGAAGGGCAGGTAGGGAAGCAGAGGGTTTTCCCTGAGAGAAGGCAGTGAGGAGTTGAAGAATTACTTAGGTTTTATGAATATGTTAAGAAAGGCACCAATATAGACAATATACTGCCAGGGCCTCCATGTGCACTTGAAGGTCTCTTTGGTGTTATGTAGAGTAGCAGTAAGATCTTTTATGACCCCGGTTTCATTAACCGTGGTGAACCAACGAGATTTCGTGTGCTGGCACGTTTGCTTCCACCTGAGCAGCATATAGGCCTTTGCTGCGTTCAAAAGTTGGATAGTCAAAGACTATTTAGATTTCCTAATGGGTCTCTCTAATAGATGCAATAGGCAAGCCACTGGATTATCAGGCACATCTACCAACATGAGCTGTTTGATAATACTCGCCATATCGTGCCAGATGAAATGTATTTTTGGGCATTGCCAAAATATGTGTAATATGGTGCCCTTTTCCCTTCTGCATCTCCAGCAGTCACTTGAGGCTTGGGGGAAAAACATGGTGGAGACAAGTGAGCACCTTATACCACCATGTAGGGATCTTATAACCCATATCCTGGAGTTTGCTAGCAATGGAGAATTTGCGGGAGAAGTGGAGGACCTTTTATCACTGCTGGGCTGTGAAGTGATCCTTTTCGCTTTTTTTGGACCTAAGCGTGATGGATCAGAAGTAGCCTGATGTTAATGGACCCACATCTGATTATAACTGGCCACCCAGAGACCCGACACAGGTCTGCTCCTGTCCGTTGTGTGAATGCATACACAAAATGAACAGGAACAGATATAAAAAAAAATTGATATCCATCCTGATCAGATCCAATTCAGGGGGGGGGATTCTGATCAAGGATCCCCAGGTGACTGGAGTGCAGAAGCACCATAAGAAAGGGCCCTTACAGAGTACCCCAGCAGCCTACAGACCTGGGACACTCTGTTATCCAAAGAGTACCTAGCTTTGGTCTAGCCCATTCCATCCCATATCCTCCACCTTACTCTTTTAGTTACCTTGGCTGTTCATCAAGTGAATTGGCTAATGGGGAGCAGGAGGTGGTAGCATGTGAACCACAGAACAGATGTACAATAAAGGAAACTATGTCGAGAGAAATACGTAGGCTTTGATTGCTGACCTGTCCTGAAAATGACGGTGACTTGGTTGTCATGGTGATTCTCTGACTTCAATACTTTCTGAGTCATTGATTTGGAACATATATGCAAGAATTCTAACTTCAGTGCTACACATTCAAAGCTGGGCAACTAGCATTTAAAGAAGGCAGTTAGCCTACACTTTTTTTGTATTACAGGTGTTAATTTTTCATTTTTTTTATATAAATTGCAATGATCGCATCATGCAAATAATAGGATTTTTGTCTTATCTGTTAATTTATTTTCTTGGAGTACATTACAGGACACAAAATGTTTAACCCTTAGACCAGTTTCTCAAACTTTTTAACATGGAGGAACTCTTGAAACAACATTCCAGTCTCAGGAAACCCTGAGACTGGAACTATATACACAACTTACTGTGAAGAATGGCTGTCTTAGACCATTGGCTTATCCTTTTGCTTTCAGGTGATTGGACACTGACAATCAGATGTATGTGCTGCCCTATGCAAGCCTTTCCTCTCCCAGCAAGCGTTTTTTCTTTCTTGCAAGCAGTAATAGGGGTTGATGATAAGAAACAGAGGGAATGGGGCCTTAGTCATGTAACATACTACAATAAAAGGATTTTACAGGTAAGAAGAAACTAATTTATTAATCAGGACACAGGCTCTTTAAGTTTTAGACCATTGGAATGTCCAAAAGCAGACCAACTGAGGGTCAAGGAAGGGCTCAAAGGAACTCTTACACCTAAAACATATGCTTGATGCTAAAAGACCAAGTAGCACTAACTTATATAGGGGAAGGTGCCCTGACAGGAAAGAGTGGAATCTTATGAACTTGATGAACTTGAATGATGACCTTCAGGAATGACGAAGAGTGAATCTGACTGTCTAAAGGAAGCTATAGAGGAGAGACAGACTAGAACAGCATGTACCTATGTCAAGACAGTGAAGAGAAATCTCCTTAGGAGGTTTGGGAGCAGGACACAGAGAGGAAAGCATGTCCTGATTAAGTTGGAAGGAGGAAACCACAAAGGAGGCCCTAGGCCTCAAGACAGCCTAGTCCTTTTATAACACTAGGAAGGGCTCTTTACAGGATAAAGTGGCTAACCCAGACACACACCTTACAGTGGTGACAGCAATGAAAAGACAACTTTATGAGTAAGAGTAGACAAGGGGCTATCCCTAATAGCTTAAACGAGTAGTTTTTACAAAGCCAGAAGTACCAGGTTGAGTCCTACAGATCCACTGGAGAAAGCACAGGGGGAGCTATGCGAGCAAACTCCTCTATGACTATTCTCATTAAAGAATGAATAAATGAATGAGAGGCTAGAAAAAACAGAAATTAACAAGGAATTTGCTTCTCTTAGAGCAAAAAGAAGATGTCCATTCACCTAAAGACATTAATAAAAAATGGAGACTTGCTGAGAGTAGATGGGGGTTATAGAGGGCTGTCTTAATAGTTTTGTTAGTCCAGCCACCTGAAGGAAGCTGCATAACCCAATAGTCTAAGACCCAAAGAGCCTGTGTCCTGTAATGTACAGTTAAGAATATGTACATTTATGTTTTGTAAACCTTATTTCCTATATACAATTAACCTAAGAAAAGTGGACATGTCACAATGCAAAACTTTTCCAGTTTAGGCTACACTCAGTAGAACAGAACATGCGCTTAATGCACAATTTACAACCTCAATCTAACATTTCTTGCATAGTTCTCAATTATCCACTAAATTTCTACAAATATTGCATACAGAGACAGACCTCCTCAGCAACTATAAACATATAATAGCAATTCTCACTTACCAAGTCCTTGGTTTTGTTGCCTCCCACTCCATGGTGTCAGGCACTGGATAAGCGCCTCCTTCTATGAGAGCGATGTTGCTATCATCTTCTAGTGGTTCTTGGGAGGATAGTCCAGGGAGAGTAAAGAGAGGAAAGTCAGAACCTTTCTCTGCACTGTCATCTACAGAGTCATTATCTTTTTCATCCTCCTCCTCCTCTTCTTCATCTTCATCCACCTCATCATCATCTTCATCATCCTCATCTTCTTCCTCCTCGTCACCTTCTGTGTTTGAGAAAATGAGCAAAGATGGGAAGGTGTTTTATTGGTAGTGTATGATGTAACGCCAACGCTTGTATCTGAAAACTGCATACCTATTGGTGCCAGTTAGTTTAAACTTCCGCAGTTTATGAGGATGCACAGTGGCATAACTAATGTGAATGGCACCCAGAGAGAACAATTTTTAACAACCCATCCTCTATAACTCAAAATTGGTTTTAGTAATATAAATAATGAGCCCATATGGAATGTATGGAAGCCCGTATCCACTGGCAGAGCGGAATTTATATAAAATAAGCACCCACTCACACAGCATCAGAAAAGTACTTTAAAACCACAATGTTTAGTCCCAAGTGGTGCTTCATCCAGTCAACTATTTTAGGTTTTATGACTCACCCATGCTACAAGGTGATCCTGGAAACCCAATATCTTTTTTTTATCTGAGTACCTTCATAAACTATGATTAAACACTGATCCCACTTATAATTTACAATGGCAGTACCTTTTTTTCAACACATCCACTCCATCTATTCAAGAGAAGTCACTGAAGCTCATTTATCAAATTGTTAAGTCAAAAGGTAGGCAAAGGAACTCTTCATATGTGTCTGAGACAAGAGCATGATGCAGTATCAGGCTTCTCCCTTTTTAGTCCCTTCTAAAATTCTATTCTTAAAGGTAGAACGCCAGACAAATATAAATTAAATTTATTTCTCTCATGCATTCATTAAAAATCATTTAAAATACTCTTAGAGTCAGGTAGGTTAGCTATATCTATTTTCAAATCAACCTCCGGTAGTGCTCTACACAACAGGACTCAAACTAATAAGACGGTAGAATCAGATTCTACTTCATTTTACAGTGCTGTCAGTCTCCCTTCCTAAACATGCTATAGGAGGATACAGCAAACGAATGACCTCTTCTGTTGGCTGCTGCTCTCCTGTCAATCAGCACATCACAAAAAAAAAAAACGCTAAACAACAGGACTACATAGTATTTTGAAGGTACCACACCACTGAATAGAGTAAAAACTATATTTTTCTTGAACAATCAAATATAAAATATGAAAAAACTCCCAAAAGAAAAACAGGGTAAGTCTATTGCATTTTAGCATACTACAAATTACACAGAGTTATATTACATCATTTGGAGAATATTGTGATTAGTGTAGCCCCAAATATAGCATTTCCACGGGGACTCCAACAAATTTTACCAACCCAATAATCTACAAGGATCTGGAGTTGGCAGAAAGTTGCAACACACTGACTCAAAGAAGGCTTCAATTCTGGAGGTTTCTCTTGCATGTTCTAGTAGGATAACATTGAGGTAAGTAGTGTGCATGTTGGTCGTTAGATCGAGATGACCATCACTACTATACATTTCACGTACATAGGTTGCACCAATTTTTTTTTTTTTACAAACTGACAGCTGAAAGTAGATGAGCTTTTAAGAAACAAAATTTAATTAAAACCTGATGTCTATGGTTTATGTACTTTTAAGTGGTTGATACACAGACATAATACAAATTCTTCTACATAAGTTGTACCTGTTTATCTATAGCGTTCTTTCTCCTACATCCATTCAAAGTGCAGAATTTACACAGGGTCTATCAGTTCTGAAAAGCAGGGGGCAGGGAGCTAAAGTTAGAGGAGAGCTTTGAGAGCTGATTGGAGGGAAGGGACACAGCCCCCTTCACACAGCACCAAGCTGAGACTGTCAATCACAGGCTGTGCCCTCCCCGTCACCATTTTTTCTCTTGGTGTCAGGCAAAATGTATCAGCAGGAACCAGACAGCAGACAGAATTGACACTCTAGATTAAGACAAGTGCAAACTATAGAGGGATATGCTTTGTTCATATTAAATGTTTACAACCACTTTAAGTTATTGATTACATTAATACAGTATTTTCTCTATAGTTTATTTAATGTAAAGTTTCCTTTTCTTTAAGTTGATTAATTTTTGTAAATCTTTTGTAAACAATTTAAAGTGGTAGTAACTTGTTATTTGTTTCCACTTGTTTATTTTAACCTACAGGTATCCCTATAATAAGGCTAACCTGTAAGTACAGTAAATCCTGTATCTCTAACAAGTGCACTGTGTAGGAGACATTTACTTTAGTAGCAGCTGGTAATGTCACCGGTGCATGCACACTGAGCTTTTAATGGATGGTATGCAATCCATTGAGAGAGCTCTGCTGTGGCCATGAGCAAGACTGACGTCATCGTGGCTCACCCATTCAAATAGCCGGAGCCTGCGAACCTGGAAGGAAGACCGGGTGAAGATAGAAGCCCTGTCAGTGCCCTGATGATCAGTGTACATGTCCCCTCCGCGGAAAGCCGATTACCGGCTCTCCTCTCCTCTCGAGCTGTCAGCATGACAGCTCGACAGAGAAATGCCGATAACCGGCATTTTCGTGTTTACATGTGATCAGCTGTGATTGGACACAGCTGATCACATGACCGAGCCAACATCTTTGGCTCTTTCTGTGATCCACTGTGTCCGAGGGACACAGCGCACCGGCGATCGCCGCTGCGCGCTCCCTGAGCCGCGCATGCACAGTGAGAATGGTAGGACGTCATATGACGTCCTATCAGAACAAGAGAACCACCTTGCGCCCGTGATTGTACTATAGGGCGGGCGGAAGGTGGTTAAGAAAGCTTCATTGTAATTTTCTTTCAAGATCAAATCAATATTACTTTGATCTGTTGTAGCAGGGCCCTTAAATGGTGTGGGCTCATAGGCTGGTGCCTACTCTGCATATCTGGCACCGATCTAAACATAACATAACCCACAGAGGAGGGACTAATACCACTCACAGCATTTCTTTATTACCCATGGCACAATTAGCACTGCAGGTGAAATTTGTAACAGCAGCCCTCAATTTATATAAAACTGGTGGTGTGCTATAAGCTCCAAGAATCCCTGCACATTAGTAATGGAGAAATAAGTCTTGATCCCATTACATCTCTGCAAAGGCAACAAGTTATATTTGCAAAGTTTCTTGAACTTACTGAATAAATGAAAGCAGCTAAGGCTTGTTACAATATATTGAGCATCATGCTGCATGTCTTATAACCTACTCTATATTGCCAAAAGTATTGGGCCACCCCTCCAAATCATTGGATTCAGGTGTTCCAATCACCTCCATGGCCACAGGTGTATAAAATTAAGCATCTGGGCATGCAGACAAATATTTGTGAAAGAATGGGTCGCTCCCAGGAGCTCAGTGAATTCAAGCGTGGTACTGTGATTGGTTGCCATCTGTGCAATATATCCATCCGTGAAAGGAGGATTATGGTGTGGGGTTGTTTTTCAGGGGTTGGACTTGGCCCCTTAGTTTCAGTGAAGGGAACTCTTAAGGCGTCAGTACACCAAGACATTTTGGACATTTTCAGACTCCCAACTTTGTGGGAACAGTTTGGGGGTGGCCTCTTCCTGTTCCAACATGACTGCGCACCAGTCCTGACCTCAACCAGATTGAACACCTTTGGGATGAATTAGAGCGGAGGCCTTCTCGTCCGACTTCAGTGCCTGACCTCACAAATGTGCTTCTGGAAGAATGGTCAAACATTCCCATAGACACACTCCTACACCTTGTGGACAGCCTTCCCAGAAGAATTGAAGCTGTTATAGCTGCAAAGGGCGGGGCCAACTCAATATTGAACCTTATGGACTAAGACCGGGATGCCATTAAAGTCCAAGTGCATGTAAAGGCAGGCCAACCAATACTTTTGGCAATATAGCGTATTAATCTACCCGTGTGCACAGAACTTTGGTTACTGACATACGTTTGTCATATGCAAGCACAAAGCACAGTACCTCCAATTGTTACCCTTATTCTTTCACATATGTTGCCAGGCTGATTTAAGTGCAGAATGACTACTGAATTCAAGCACCAAATGTTAGATGAGAATGGAAGCCAGAGGCAAAGGAGCATGAAGAAAAGACAAGGGATCAATGAGGCAGTGGAGCAGTTAGGAAAAGTAATGGCACTGTGACAACTGAGTGACAACATACCACGCGCCAGTTCTGCATGGCTGAAGGGAAGATGTAGCATGCAAGCCAGCAAACTGAATAAAGGCTGAATAAAAAGAGAGAGTGGTGCCAATCATGAGAAAACTGCACATCAAATGAGATAGAAAATAGTACATTCCAAGCAGAAAGTAAACTGGAGGCACTCCTGTTAAACTACACTGGTCCAAACATATACTACTGACCTGACCATAGAAACAAGCAGGGTCCATATCACTGCTCCAGGCCCTGGATTCTGGGAGGCAATGCACAGGCTGTCAGTCAGGGGCAGTAGGTATTGCTCTGTCTGACATAGGACTAAGGGACTAATGGTCAGTAAAAAGTGGTGTGCTGAGGACCACTAAAATGGTGGTAAGATGGCACATCATGCAATCCTTAAGAATGTAGAAGAATGCAATGTGCAAGATCAGGAACATCCTGCTTAAAAATTTAACACATTTGGCTGGGGAGTCTTTTGGCACTCAACAGCTTTTTTGTCAAAATCTTGCCATTCGGGCCAAGATCTGCAGATCTGAGTAAGCTGATGTATGCAATGCTCTGTGCCTATGACCCAGCATTTATTTCCTCCAGTACTACCAGTGTCCCATACAATGTGTGGATGTGCCAGGCCTGACACACAAGACCAAATACCTGCTATTCTATCATGGGCACCAGGCTTTCCTGCTAGATAAATGCTTATTACCAAAACCCTTCTCTTTGGAAGGGCCCCGAATCTGATGCAAAGCACAAATTCGAAAAACGTAGACCAGTTTGTTCCCTGACATCTCTCTATCACAAAAGAACACAAAGCTATGGATCCACCACAGCTATGTAAGTTAATGCTGATGAAGGCTACATTGTAATATAAGTTAAATTCCTTAGAATTTCTGCCCCTGGTATCCTAGGGGCCACACTTGGCCCTTGGTACCTGCTGTGGCATTTGAGTCTTCAGTAGTGAAAAGCAGAAGACTGAGCAGTAATGACAGTGATCTCTAGC